TGGAGAGCTGTGTGTATACCACAAGCAATTGTGCTGAGGTGAACTGCATGTAAATAAATAGGCGATTGGATTGCAATTTGCTGTCTAAATGCCAGGTTGGTTGTATGTGGACTGGTGATAATAGCAATACTTACCTGAGGCTTTGATATTGTGGCAGAACTAAACTGATTTGTACTTACAAATGGAAATGTTTGGCAGAAGTTTTCCATGCAACCCGGATATGGCAGTATCATCATGATTTTCATAAATATCCAGTCAGATGGGTAAGCTGCGAATACACTTTTAATGACAGTAAACATCTGTAGAAGTGTCATCGTTTTATGTTTAGGTATTTAGGATACTATTTGCAAGTGAAAAGATAAGGCAGAAAAGCATTATCTTATGACACAGCAAGATCTCCTTCTGTTGGCTTTTTTAAGATTAAAAAATAAGCTTCCTATAAAAAGAAAGAAAATAATTTATAAGAATCGAAAAAACTTCTCTACATTAGGCTTGAATCCAAGAGCTTGACCTTCTCTATCTATTCTCTTTCCGTAGTATTCCCAGGATCTTTATCTGAAAGCCTATTCTCAGAAGACCTGAAAAGCATGAGAAACTGTTATCATTAGTTTAGTGTTCACCAGAGTATAAATCTATGAATTAAAAATAATATCCTTTCTTAGCCCCAGTTATGTTAGTTGAAACAAACAGAAGTAAAGCATCTAATGAAAAGGTGAAGCATATAATAAGATTAGGAAGTAAAACACAAAGACAACTGAGACAGTTAACTGAATTGCTGAAACACATTGGTAATTTTAAGATTAATTCTAACCACACAGGACATTGATAATCAATATAGGCAGCTTAAAGGAAGGATCTTTTCAATGCACAACGATGTTCAGAAGGGCAAGAATAATTTGATATGTTTAAGAAAAGACAGGAAATAATACACAAAATATTGAATTTTGCTCATTACTACTAAGCATTAGAGGACAAATTTAAATATCAGCTACCTTACAACAACAGGAGACCAGTGACAGACTTTGGTAAGGAAGCTAAGGAAGTTATATTTAAAAAGTACAGTTGCCTATGGCAGGAAGGATGCAGGAAGAGCATTATATATTATCCTGTTTAGAGTTATTAATGCTTCAAATTCTAAAGCTGAGATTTTAGTAGGACATCCACAAAGGCAATGAAAACAAGTAGTTGCTTGAGATATGCAGTTTGGAGAAGCTTCATGCTTCAGGTCTTAAATCAACAAATACAGGCATAGAATAAGAAAGAAAACTTAGAAAAGAAATGGCAAATTATTTTATGATTGTCTGTTAAAGGGATTTTGTCTCCTCTTATGATTTCTTTAGAAGACTGCAGTGAGAAGTAGGTTACCATACTAATAAGAGCAGTGGTAGAGCTCATGTCTATATTCTCATTATTCTCTGAATGTAAGAGTATCAAGCACTAGCAGTGTTTTACTGTGTGCTGCGTAAACTAAAATAATAAATACGAAATAATAATACAAAGCTGTATCAAAAGAACATTAAGGTCTAATAGTTCCTAATTCAAAAACAGAAGATTTAGAGTTATAAATGGATCATAGATGTACTGCTCAGACTGTACCTCTGAATCTTATCTAGTTCAGCCTCTTTTTGGAGCAGGACTACCATCAACACTTGATCAGATGAGCCATGGCTTTTTGGCCAAATCTTGAAAATCTCCAAGGATGGCAATGCCACAATCTCTCTGGATTACCTGTTCTAGGGCCAATGAGCTGCATTCATGTTGCATGCATCTTAAATCTTTATCATGACCACCACATACCCTGGTCTCTTTCATTTCCAAACTAGATTTATTTCTTTAATTGACAGAAAAGTTCCTAGTACTGAAAGGTATCAAAGAAAAGAAATGACAGCTAAGGCAGTTGAATACTACACAAATTACATGCTATAGATGTTAGAGCTGTTGTGTGATGATCAAGAGAGACCAGACTTATCCAAGAAGTGATTAACAGCATTCCTTCTTTTTTGAATGCTGAATTTGAGACTTATAGAAGAATTATAGAAGTGACTTCTATAATTGACTGACTTATAGAAGTACTAAAGTCAGTAGCAGCTGTTCTTTGAAAACACTCCGTGTTATATAACGATAAGGACCCTTAACAAAGCTAATTTTAGAGAGTATTGAATTGGATATCAAAATTGGTGGACTTTTTCAGTGTAATCTCCTTGAGCCTTATCTCCCATTTATAAAATCACGTTATAATGGTTATAATATCACGTTACATCCTCACCTTGTAAAGATACATGAACCCATATTTGTGAAGTACTTAGATTCTATAGTAGTGAGCATCATGTAAGATCTCAGGAGGTGATGAGTAACTTGGCATTCAAGTAGGTATTTGAATACCATGCAGTAAATAGGTGATAGGATGAGTCGTTTTGAACAAGAATATAAAATGTTGAATGTTGCTTCTTCTGCTGAGCAGACTTCATTTTGAACACTAAAGGAAATAGGCAGGTTTTGAGGAAAAATAGTATGTGATCATGTCAAAAGACAGCTAATAAAGAAGACAGCTAAAGGTTACACAGGCAACCTTCATTCTGGCCCTTCCTGTCTTAATTAAAGTGCCTGGTTTTGCAAGTTTAGCTTGGCTTTTGATATTTTTGAAGTAGAAAGTTGTTTATGCAGTAGTTATAAAGTAACTGTACAAGATCAAGCTACCAAGATGCTTACGATATGAATCTCTGAAACCACTGCAAACTTCTGCGACTTCCAGTGGCAAAATAACTGAAAGCAATGTATAGGTATGCTCACTGGACCACTGCTTGAGAGGAATGAGACACGTGCTTTCTGTTGGTCATTACGTATATTTACGGAACACAGAGGAATAGCACTTCCCTGAAACTGTAATTTTTATCTGGCACTGCAAACATGTGGTGGCAGTCCATACTTGTAAACTGCTAGTGCGGGTTTCAGCATGGTTTTGGGCAATACAAAGTAGGATTCACCCACACAGTTTCTAGGCACAGTTCAAGATACAGCTGAGGCCTCAGACCATTCCCAGTAACTGTTTGGATGTGCTGACTCAAGGAGATGGAGAGTTTCAAGACAGAGCTTGGAAACATTATAGTAGGATTCAGTTTATGATTAAGACATCTACATTTAGGTATCATAATGCAAAATGGATGCCATCTCGCAAAATAATCTTTTGTGATCTAGTCAATTCAGTTAATGGGTACAGAGGACGATTTAAGTGATCAGCCATGATGACTGTGACTTCGTTCCCTAAGCTGCACTGACCTCATCAGCTTCACCTCTGAGTACGACTAGGAGCTCATATACTTCTTACACATGTACATACCTAAAACAAGATGTCTTAATCAGGATCTGAATCCCAGCTGATGAGCTTTTCCTATTACAGAAAAATACCAAAGTTGATCAGTATTTACATAATTTATTTTTCATTTTAAGTTCACCTTCAAAGTTACAGCTGTACAATTAATTCAGAAACTTTCAAAAATTAAAGCAAGTGAAAATGTCCAATCCTCTTGTTTTTCCTGCTAACCAACTTTCCTGGCATTAATGATTCTATAAGTTCTGTCACATCAAACATTCTACCTTTTTCCATTGCATCAGACATGCCTTTAGTTGAAAAATATACTTGAGATATATATTGCAGTTTGTTGCTTCCCAAAGGAGAGATTAGATTTCCTAAGGTTGTACCCTGCCTATTCTTGATTAAAATTTTGTAATTTAGAAAATGAGAAAAAAATATTTTAAAACTATGGACTAATATAAGTGCAGGTGATCTAAAGTCCAAACAAAGATCCTTCTTTTAGCATTCATTTAGCAAGTACTATCTCATTTTATAAAGAAAAATAACGGATTAGTTTTTTTGTTGCCTTTTTTATTTATTTAGGATAGATTATAGTGAATAGGAGGAAGCTGATCATGATCAGTTTGTTTTCATATTGTGACATGGTGCCTTTGACTGCTTTTGGTAGCTCTGGTAGCTATTGCTGTGCACACAGTCCTCCAGTTAAAGATTCTACATCTGTAGATGCAGCTTTCAGCTGGAACAACATCTGTGTACCTTAAATGAAGTAGTGATGATGATGCAAAAGTTAGTGGGGACAGAGTTATTCTGAGTTGAATAACTGATCCTAATGGCCTGTGAATTGAATGATGTTACCCTCACACCTGCTTTAACTGAGATAGCACAGATAGAAAGAGTTCTCAAACTTTACTCTTATAGCTCCTGCAGTCACAGGTGTAAAAAAAGTCAATAAATTCTTAATGATCCTCTCTGAATTGTGTCAAAATAAACTTTTTTCTTTACAGAAATAATTAAAGAAATTTAAAATACAGAAATATTTGTCAGTAGTTTCCATTTGCCATGCTAAACTGTATATAAGACCTCTCATTAAAAATACTTGCTTTCCTATTCTTCTTTTTACAATGGTTACTACTACTCTGAAACTATTCTTGTAAATTCCCAGAAATGAAAACAACATTCACATCTGTTCTTTAGATAGTCAGTAAAAAGGAATCATAGTTGTAACTTCAAAGTAAAAAATTGCCTGTTAAAAGAAATTATGTATCTTTATATATTAAAAATAGTACTGTTAAACAGATTCTTCATGTATTTTATTACCTAAGCAGTAACTAACTTATTAATCTTTCAAAATTGTGTAATTTGTACACATTTCAACTCAAAAACAAGTTAAAAGTGAAAGCCAATCGTTCTTTATAAATTCGCTTTTTCCTGTAGTAGATATGTAGCACTGCTTTGACCTGTTTTTCAACCACTCTTTTCAACAAGATAAATTAGTCAAGTTTATAGAACAAATTGCTAAGAGGCTAACAAATCGGTTCATCACAGCAGTATCTGTAGAAGTTTGTGTACATAAGAGCAAACTAAGCATCATAGAAAATAATTTTGTGTAGAATAAGGGTTTTGCTCTCTATAGTATTTTACTACATTTTATTTTTTTTAAAAAAAAACATACTCTGTCTCTTTTCAGAGCGTCTTTGCCAGGAAGAATCATTTACTGAAAGTGAGCTTCCTGAAGGTCACCCCGCTGAGCAGTTTGCAGGTTTACTTCATGGATCATCACCCGCCTGCGACCCACCTGATAATCCACTCCAGCTGTACAGCAAAATAAACCAATGCAGCGGTGCAGTAGAGAAAAGCATTTTGAACAGGAACACAGTCCAGCAGATCCAGCTGCGGAAAGAAAACACTGCAGATCCTCCCGTTAAGAAAAAAAAGCCACCAGTTGTCAACAGAACCATATTTCATACAAAAACGAAACCAGTGGAAAATCGTACGCTGGTTGGCCCAGCAGCAAGGATAAGTGATCAGTGGGTTGTTACTACTGGGGGATTTGTGGAGCGCGCATGCACGCTCGGGAGAATACGTTCTTTACCAAAGACCTTGCTTGAAATGCATTTGTGCAAAAACGTTTCAAAATCTGATTCCAATCTCATTTCCCATCCACCAAATGACAAAAAAGCGAGAAGCAACTGGAGTGAACCCACACCAAGTCAGCAGTGCTCTAAAGGAAACTCTGAGAGAACACCTTCCTTCACATCAGAATGGGAAGAAGTAAGCTTGGCTCATTTATAGTACAAGCAACTATGTAGAATTGTGATAATGATGTTATTTGGTAGTTTCAGAGGCAGAAAATAAAAAGCAAATTGTCCAAATTACACGTCCTTAGGGAGTGTATATCACCGTGTAGTACATGTAGTTTGACAGCTGGCACCAAATGCAGTGCATTTTTCCTCAAAATGCTGCACACTGAACAAAACCTATCGTTTCCATAGTGAAGGAAGTCAACCTGAAGTAACTCTATTTTTCTATATGTCGTGACATTCACATTATTTTCCACTGAAGCCCTCGCAACTGACAAGAGTAAATTTGGCAAAATGGGCCAATAGCTATGCCCGTTACGTATGGATTTGCTAAGTATTTCCAGCCACTTCAGAAGAACAGGCAATGTGCCCCAACAAGAGGCAGTGGTGTTCCCTTGTTAGCCAGGGATGGAAAACCCATGGTGGTTGTGAATGCACAAACCCAATTTGCATTATATATCCTCTCCCTGGTAAATAGTTTATGTACACAGTACTTGCTGTATACCTGATTGTTGTGTGCAATAGGATCCTAAAGGCAATCTTCTATTAAAGGAAATCTTTCATGCTGAGTTCATATGTTTGCTCATACAAAAGACTCTACTTCTAGAGCTTGATTTAAAATATTTTTATACAGCTTGTTTTAATTTCATTTTTTCTTCCGACTGTGCTCAATATCAAGAGTGTAAATGAGTCTTCATAGACAGGAAAGTTCTTGTCTTATCGAGGTAAATTAAGTTAAGAGTGGCATATGTTTGTATCTTTACTGCTATTACAGAAAAGTAAGCACTTATCTTTGAAACAGCTACTCTTGGAAAGTGTCTTTCTATATTCCCCAAAGTCTTTTTATCTCAGCAATAGATGAAAGAGTTTGTTTGTATGATTGGCTGTTTTTCCAAAAAGAATTCTTCAGTTCATATAAATGTCTTGTTCGACAGGATATCCATGAGGTAGTTTTCGTTGTAAAGGAGTTATTTGCTCACTGGTTTTGATCTTACTTATTTGGGTACATTTTTATGAGATTTTTGGTAAGGTCAAAGATTGCCCTTTAGGGGAATGCCAAGGTTTGGCTGTTCTTGAGGATAAGACAAATTTAGTTTATCAAAAAGTAGGTATGAATTCTAAATCTGCAAATTCTGAGATTATTTCCACATATTTTCCTGTCAACAGTGACAGGAGCCAGCTGTTAAACTAACTAAAACCTAGTTCTTTGTTGCTGCCTTCGTCTTCAACAATACTTGCCTTGGATTCACTTTTCGGTTTGTGTTCATGTTATAGAGAGTATAGTAGGGATATTAATTCTGACCCAGTAAGTACAATGTCATTTACAAATGTGCAAATGAACTTTGGAAAAAGAGCAGTATTGTTTCACAAACAATGTAATTCCGTATGAACTTGGTATGGGAGCCTGGGGCAGATGACAGAAAAGGGAGCTAGAAAATTCTCTGGAAATCTTAAAAGCATGAGGAAATACTATTCATTAATAACACAACTTAAATAGTCCTCTCAGGTATCATCAAGCAAAATAAGCCTATAAGATTGAAATCCATTCCATCATATACTTTTAATACACACGTTTTTCTCCTTTGTGGCCATATATTGAAGCAAAAGAAAGTAGTTTCAAGTACTGAGATACAATTAGACGACCAGTGTCATCGGTATAGAAAG